TTTTTTTTTTTTTTTTTTTTTTTGGTACCAGGGATCAAACTCAGGACCTTGTGCTTGCAAGGCAGGTGAGGTACCACTGAGCTAAATCCCTGGCCCAGAAATTCTTGTCTCTGTACTCTAACTCATGCCTCATATATACTTAGTAAAGTTGTCAAATAATGGTAATCATGTAGCTGGGCATGGTGGGGGGGTCACCCCTGTAATCATAGCACTCTGGGAGGCTGAGGCAGGAGGAGCACAGGCTTACACCCAGCCTGAGCAATTTAAAGACTTAGTGAGACCCTGTCTCTAAACAAACAAAATGGTTGAGATTGTGGCTTGGTGAGATGGCTACAATCTCCAGTACCACCAAAGCAACAAACAAATAAACAAAAAGTGATAGCATGAAGAACGGCTTAGAAAACCAGAGAGGAAGTATGTGAACACAGAGGAATGACTTAGCTGTTGGACATGAAACTGGAACCATACACTGGGGGACAAGAGCCCTGGGGCCTCCTCAATGAATATTCAAGGACAGTCATTATAAGAGGTCACAAGAAAGAAAACAGTGAGACCCATCTGTGGAGGGGCAAGACGATGGCTTTGTCTGTTGACAGAGTAGGGCAGGTCATTCTTGTGTGTTATATAATAGCACCAGTAGTCTATACCGTGAACATTGTGTGCATGCAGATATGCACAGCGCCCATTGGTAAAGGTCAAGGTAAAGGGTAAAGGGAGGAGGAGAATATTGAAAGGATAATAACAACAAGCTGAGCACAATGGTGCACACCCGTAGTCTCACAACTCAAAGGCTGAGGAAGGAGAATCCCAAGTTTGCTCTTCACCTGGGCAATTTAGTGATTTAGCAAGACCTTGTCTCAAATATGGGAGGTGTGGAGTGGGGATGTGAGCTCAGTGTGAAGGCCCAGGGTTCAATCCCCCATCACACTACACATACACACACACACACGTGCACGAAAGAATGACAAAAGAGAAAGTAGGCCTCCCCCCATGTTACTGCAGGACTCTTGTTGAGCTTACTGATTCTTCTGACTAAGTTCACCTCCTGGAAACCACATCCTTCTCTAGCTGCTTTGAAGAGAGCCTAATCCAAGCAATTTCTAGCTCTGAGGAACCAGGAGAAAGAAAACTGCCAATGCAGACTCTTGGGGCGTCACTGAGAAAAACCTACATATTTCATCCTCATTCAGACGTGTTGCCTAGATTAAGTCAGTTCGTTTCCAACCCAAACTGGGGGTAGGGGGAGTTTCTCCACTTACAGCAGGGGTTTTTAACCTGGAGTAAACAGAATGTTATATTTGTGTGCAGTTTTCTAGGGAGGGGGTTCATTAGCTTTCACTATATTCTCAAAGGGCTTTATGACTCTCAAAAAATTAGGAGTAAATGCCTTAAAGGAGGAACAGTAGAACATAAATAGACAACGATAAACATAGTTTTTAACTGGACAGGTCTAGACTCAATGGCCATACTTTGCATCTAACATCTACCTGCTTTTGTCGGTGGCTACTAATTAATAATCTTGTTCTGTGGTCATCTCTTACACCTTTTGTAACCAAACTAAAAATGCAGTGACTTGAGTAATTAGCTCTTAGGGGCTCACCTGAGCCCCCTTCAGTTCCATGCTATGGTGACAGTGGGGAGGCATTGACTAATGCTGCCCGAGGGGTGCAAAAACATTGGCTCCATGGAATCTGAGAGAAAACATATGTCAAGTGAGGGCCTCTGGGACTTCAGATGTAGTATTTGGGGAAATCCCAGCTGGGCTGGAAAGTAGTGACTTTTAACAATGTGTTCAGGGGCTGCTGCTGTAGGGTTCTTTGTGGAGCCAGCAGTTGGTCCCCTCTGCCTGTGTGTGCAAACTGTTCAGAGGCAGGGAAGGGAAATGGTACACACTGAGCTATTGTCACCTACTTTCTGTGTTTCCCACCTTAAAATGTGTCACCGAGGCCCTCTGAACGACTGGCCTGAGGCGCTCTGTGAACTGACAGTTCTAAAAAAGACTGCGGGAGGCTCCTGTGCACTGCGACCACCCAGCCATCAGCCACTCTGCAGACCCTTTTTCCCCCTCTCACCTTCACAGCAGCAATTGAAGGCAGACAGGAGCATCCTTATTTTACCAGTGAGGAAACTGAGTCTCAGGCAAATTGAGTAACACAAAAAATTGTGTGGTCAGCTTTAGAGCTAGGATTCAACTTGTCCATGATAAAATTTAAAAAATTTTGGTTACAAAACCAGAACAACGTTCTGGCTAACAGAGCAAAAGGGCAGCTTGTGGCAAGGAGTTCCAAGGGCTCACAAAATGGAACAAAAGGAGTCCCAGGTCCACCACTTCCTGTCCGGATGACTTTGGGCAGGATGCATAACTCCAATGGGTCATGTTTTCTCCACCTGTGTAGTGAGCTAAGGGGGCCCGAGATTCAGCTCAGTGTTGCCACTGCCTGCCTTGAAAGTGAAAGGTCCAGAGCTCAATCCCCAGTATCAAAGAAAAAAAAAAAATCCTCCAGTGCACCAGCTTCTGAGACTGGGTTGAGCTCATGCAAAGCGCTGAACAGATAAGATGCTCCTGGAAAATGTTCTTCCCACCTGTTCCCTCCCAACACTCCAAAAAATTACAGTGTTTCCAGTATTCTGAAGATAACTTGATTATTTCCCCTTATAGTCCTTCTTATGGGAGAACACTCCGTTTTTTCACGATGGCATTTGCCCCCCCGAAAAGCATAGAGGGCCCCAAAATGCAGACGAAGATGAGCAGCTGGACACCACTAAACCACCAGCTTTTGAATGACCGGGTAAGTGGCCAGAGCTATTTTATCAGTTGGATTCATGCCTTAAAGAGAAAGAAATAGTAGTAGAATTTTGCCTATCATCACTAGAACAGGAATTCTTTAGGATTGGGCCAATGGATAGAGAAATGACAAGACAAAGCATTTATTTTAAAAAAGCTTATTGAGTGTCTGCTGTGTGCACGAGGCCACCAATAGACATGGAGTCCCTTCCTGAGAAGAAAATGCCTTCGATTTGTTGCTTGGTCAGTCCTCCTCGCTCCTGTCTTAGTTACCTCTTTCTCCCATTACTGGTTCTCCTCTGGGACCACTGTGACTGGAGAAAGGGTCTGCAAGGAGTTTCCAAAAAACAGGTTTTCTGGCTAGAGTTGAGGTCATTGGGTAAGACTGCATAGGAATTGCATCAACAAGTACATTTCAACCGAGTACTCACGATACTCCTGCAAACTTCATTTTCTGCCTGCCTTCTGGAGAGGCATTAGTACAATGCTGGGGTGTGAGGTTGGCCAGACTCTGAAGATTTCTATTCCGGCTCTAGTGAGGTCCAGAATTTATGCCTGGGCCTGAGAGCTCCTGTTAGCAATTCCTGTCCATCAGGACCACACCTAGTGGGCAGCAACGTGTGTAAAACCCACCTTGTTATCTTGCTCTTACAAACCAGTTCCTCTTCCTGGAGAAAAACAGCACCACTTTGTACCAAGTTACTCAGGCAGGAAATCTTCCTTCTTGTTGGGTCTTGGGTTTGATCCCCCCGCCCCCAGTTTACAAGCTAATATTTTAACCTTTATTTATGGAATTGATGACATTATAGTTTCACAGGAAAAGACGTAGACCCCTAGGTCGGAGGCAGAAAACTTTACTCCCAGCACAGCAATCGCGATGAGTGTGATGCTTTCCTGATCAGCCCGAGCCGGGATAAAATGCACAGTGTGGGTTTATGCAGCAGCTGGGCCAGGGAGCCTGGACCCTGCTGCTTGTCCAGCGGGCAGTGAGCATGGCCGGCTGTGCTCGCCCTGGAGGGAGGCTCGGCTCTACGCCTCCATGAGGTCGCCTGCCTGCAGTGCACCCTGGAGTGATGGCGCCAGGGCAAAGTGCCCGCTTGTTCCCTGCGTGCCGGGGCACCAGGGCCAGGAAAGGCCATGGAGCAGCGACTGCCAGCAGCCCTCGCCTCTACGTCTGTTTGCTTTCATGTTCTGGGTCCTCCTCCCAGGCCTCTCATTCAGGCCCCTTTCCACCCCACGCATCCCACACTCTCGTCCCAGACCCCGGGCCCCCTTGCCACACAACCTGCCGTAGCACCTACCTGGCTTCACAGCCTCTGCCCCTGGCTCCCTAGGGCCCAGGATGGTCTTTCTAAAAAGAAACCGGTCCCATTTTTTCCCACTCCCACGGGTAAATCCCAAACACACATGTGCACCACTGAGACCCCTTCATGGTCTGACCTCACCCAGCCTCCTACTCCCACCTGTGCCGCCACCCTCAGGCCCAGGACCAGGCCATTCTCAGAGTCCCCTGAACCTGCTGTGCCACACCTGTGAGAGTGAACTCCAGCATCTCTCCTCTGTGCTGCCTCCCTGGCTTTCTGCCTCCTGTTCTTGGCTCTCCTGTTTGCATTTTCCCACTCCCTTTAAAATGCTTTACATTGAGCCTGGCTTGGAGGCACACGCCTATAATCCCAGCATTTGGGAGGCTGAGGCAGGAGGATCACCAATTTGAGGCCAACCTGGGCAAGTCAGTATAAGGCCCAGCCTGAACTACAGAGTAAGACCCTGACTCAAATTTCTGCCTCCTGTTCTTGGCTCTCCTGTTTGCATTTTCCCACTCCCTTTAAAATGCTTTACATTGAGCCTGGCTTGGAGGCACACGCCTATAATCCCAGCATTTGGGAGGCTGAGGCAGGAGGATCACCAATTTGAGGCCAACCTGGGCAAGTCAGTATAAGGCCCAGCCTGAACTACAGAGTAAGACCCTGACTCAAAAAAACTCTCTTTTTATCTACAGGGCCTGATCTGGCATAAGAGGTGGAGCCAGAGTCCAGTCTTCCTGGTCCGCTTTCACTGTCATGTGGCCCGCTCCGTCTCCTTCCTTAGCACTGAGATGGGCCTTTGATTCTCTAATCCCAGCAGATGTGCAGATCCCTCTGGCCAAGCTGAGCCATCAGACCTGACTCCTCTTGGTGCTTTCTTTTTCTATTCCTCTGATCTGAACCGGAGTAGGAAAAAGATAAGGAAATAAGGAGCCGGGGATTTAGTTCAGTGGTTCTGCCACCTGTCTCTCAAGTGCAAGGTCCCGGGTTCCGGTACAAAAAAAAAATTCTTTTTTTTTTTTTTTGAGGAAAGAGGAGAGTCCCGCCTTCATCTCACCTGTGAATACGTCTATTGAAGTCTTGCCCCTTCAGCACAGTGATTACTTCCTGAGCACCTGTTCACAATGCTGAGCTCTCTGACAGTTTACATAACAGATGATCTGCTCCTCCCCAGACCTCAGTGTTTAGTTTTGAAATCTGTTTTCCCATAGAATTGTGAAGATTTTATGCACATGTGAAAAAATGACTTGAATTGAAATTCAAATTTGTTGGATGCCTTGATTTTCAGAGTATTTCCTTGAAATTTTAAGAAAAATTAAGAGGCATGATCTGTTTAGCTACTGTGGAGTAGGAGCTGCCTTAACAACTAAAAATACCTGAGTGCCTGTTGTAAGTTGGGGGACTATAAAAGCAAATTCCCTTGTTTTGTTTGGCTTGGTTGCATTTTGCTTCTGTGACATTAGGTATTGAACCCAGGGCCCTGAGCACGCTAGGCAGGTGCTGTAGCACTAAGCTGTACCCCTCAGCCCCGAGAAGAAGATTCTGAGATGAGTATGTGGGACCAACCCCAGGGTGGGAGAGGGCAGAGGAACAGAAGAGAAAGAGGTGCTGTGATACAGCCTCAGAGTCTCCACTGACCCTGGACACCCCGCAGCTGGTATTACCTTACAAGCAAGCACACTTACCAGCAAGCACACCGCCCGTTCTGTGCAGCCTGCTGTCCCTACCCAGGACCCACCCCCCTGGCCAGGCAGCTTTCTCAAGCTTGTCGCTGTCACCCAGCAGCTTCCCAACAGGTATAGGAATAAATCCTTCAGTGCTGGAGGATGATCAGTACAACGTGGAAATCGGTACATTATACTATCTTCATTCTTTAAGGGATTTTGTCACACTCATAGTGATAATTTCTAGAAGAAAATTTTATTTCATTGTTCATTATCTCTCGCATATTCCAAAAAATATAGTTAGGTTCTAGTTTAGAGTAAAATTATTTTAAAAAATCTTTTCACGTGTATATACACACACGTGTATCAATGTACACAGACACACACATGGAATTTATATGTGATGACACAAAATTATTGTTACTGCCCACTCCCAAGTTTAGATTGTCATCAGTGGCTGGAGGGGAGGGGGCTGTTAGAAGAGAGAGCTTTCTTTCAAATTTTTGAAGTTTAAAAACAAATGCAAATAAAAGCAAACAAAGAACAGCTCTAGGAATGTAAAACTCGTTTCAGATCAGCTGTCCCAGTAATTTCCTACATGCACTGAGGAAGGTGCTGGGCCTTCTTTTGTAAAATAAGTAGTTTGGAGCAGATGACCTAGAAGGTTCCTTCCACATCTGACTTTTCAAATGTATGAAAGGGTCTAAAAATAGATGCCCAAGGACACAACAGCCAGAAAGCACCCACAGAGATATTTTAAGGGGTTTTCCTCACCTCAAAAACAGAGAATTGTCACCAACAATCAGTGTAACTGTGAGGTCATATTTTGTTTGTGTTTGAATTTTGTCTTTCTTCTGTTGTGCAGTAGCAAGTCAAATATGTAACTATCTCATACTAAAATAAGAGTCACAGGATTTTAACTTCACAGCAGGCTTTGAGCAGAGAGATTGAATTCAAATTTAGAAGCTTTAAAATAAAAAAGTCATCAGGCCGGGCAAATGCAATAGATTACAAAGTAATTCAGGCCCTGACAATTTTGAGAAGAAGGTTTGAAAATTATACATCTCTTTGCCATCCAATGTTGTAATTAAAAGGGATCCTCCCCACACACATGCAAGGGTAGCTACAGACAGGGATATGTAGGATAATTTGCTTGACTCTGGTAATCATTTCACTGTGTAGATGTATATCAAAATATCATGTTGTACACTTTAAGTATAGACAATTTTTAAAAAGCAAATGGGTCACATTTCTTTTAGAGTGTAGCCCACATCTAGTACAGTACATGTTAAAAGGGTATTCTGAGCAAAAGCACCTTGTTGTAGTCAATCAGTCATAACTTAGGACCCCCCTAAATCCCTCCCTCCTGCACTGTAATGATGTCACAGGGAGAAATATGTAATTTCAGTGTCAACAGACTAAAATAACAACCGTGGGATTTTGACTTAACAGCAGGCTGTGAGTAAACTGTGATATAAACAAACTGCAGCATTCCACAAGAAAGGAAGATCCATTTTAATATTTCCATGTTGCATAGACTTTTTTTTTTTTTTTTTGTACCTGGGATTGAACTCAGGTCCTTGCACTTGCAAGGCAGGCCATCGAACCACTGAGCTAAATCCCCAGCTGCATAGACATTTTGTTTTCCAGCTCTTTAAAAAAAAGAAAGAATGTGATTGCAAATCATTGCAATGAAGATTCACTCCAAACCAGGAAATATAAGACTAACAGTGTAACCGAGGACCTGACTGTGAAGTGATTTGCCCAGATTATATTTCTCATCATGAGTAGAGTCAGAGTTCGATCTGAGGTCTCCAGACTTCCAACCTCATCTGTCCCTTCATTCCCAGAAGTCGCTCCTTGGGTATAGGCATTTTCTGGTAAACGATTGGATTTGCTCGGTCCCTCTTAGATGTTGCCTTTGCTGTAGCCTGGGTGACGCCCCCCACTTTCTACTCCCTTCCCTTCCTGCTGCCTGTGTGAAAACTATCTTTGCCTCCAAATCAGTGTCCTGTGTTTCCACACCACCAGGATAGTGCAGTCCCAGCCTCTTTCTGAAATCTCACTTGTGGTCTCAGGACATAACCTTCTTCCCAACCTCCCGCCAAAGCACGGGCAACCGTTCATCAGGAATATAAGGTTGATACTACTCAGCCATAAAGAATGAGAAATTAGATTCACTCATAGGAAAATGGATACATATTGAGTGTCCTGTGTTTCCACACCACCAGGATAGTGCAGTCCCAGCCTCTTTCTGAAATCTCACTTGTGGTCTCAGGACATAACCTTCTTCCCAACCTCCCGCCAAAGCACGGGCAACCGTTCATCAGGAATATAAGGTTGATACTACTCAGCCATAAAGAATGAGAAATTAGATTCACTCATAGGAAAATGGATACATATTGAGGATATACTCCTAAGTGAAATATAAAAGTCACACATGTGTAAATACTGAACAGTTTCTCTGGTGTAAAAAACTATAATAGTACATAAGATCCTAATGAGATAATTGACAATGTGAAATAGGAAGAAAAGGGCTAAAGGTGTAGGGAAAGTGGGAAGGGTAGGGGAAAGGTAATAAGGGAAAAGAAAAAAATGAGAAAATAAAAAATGGAAATAAAGTGTTTGTAAATGGGGAGGGGAAGAGGGGGTGAAGGGAGGGCGGGGACAAGGGGAAAAAATGAGAACCAAGACCTGTCATGTAAAGGTAGAAGATCCCAATAATGAATGTAACTGTACTGTATACCTAAAACGTATCAATAAACTCAATTTTTAAAAAAAGAATATAAGGTTGGGGGCTGGGGATTTAACTCAGTGGTTCCGCCGCCTGCCTGGCAAGTACAAGGTCCCGAGTTTGATCCCTGGTACCACCAAAAAAAAAAAAAAAAAAAGAATGTAAGGCTGGGAATGGGTGTATGACTCAGTGGTAGAAGGCCTGCCTAGCACACATAAGGACCTGGGTTCAATCCTCAGCACTGCAAACAAAGGAACACAGTAAGGCTGGAAGCCAGGGTGGAGAAGACCAAGATTTAAGTGAGGAACCACGTGCAAAACTAAGCTGAACAGATAGATTGGAACCAGTGATTAAAAAAAAAAAATCTATAAATAGAACCTCTTTGGGCCTCTGCTTGACCTCTTTAAAATAAAGGTATTGAATAAAAGGATCTTTAGGGTTTTTTTTCCTTCTGGAGCTTTGTTGTGGTTGGTATTCAGTCAGCAGTGTCTGGAGGGCCCACAGGGAAACAGACTAAAATAACATTGCCGGTTCTGGGGAGCATTAGGAGGAAGGGGCTGTCATTTACACGGGGAGATCAAATTAACAGAGACCACAAGAGAGCAAAACTGAGCGCCGGAAAGCCCGGTGGAGCCTGACTGCGAGTGGGGTGGGAGTGCGAGGCTCGCCGGGCATCTGAACCCTGACGGCAGCAATGGCGTGGATGCCGTAGGTGACTGAAGGAGAAAAGGGCTCCGGCGATACAACATGTGTCCCAGAATACGGTGAATGTTTACGTTTTTAAATTTAGTGAAATCCACATCGCCCTGCAGCCCCCTCAAAGCCCTCTCCCTCCCCTCGAATACATCACTCGCACCACTTTCAGAAGCAGCTCGGAAGCCCTCCTTGGCGAGTGCCTCCAGTGGTACTGCTGGGGCTGCCTCGAACTGAGTCAAAACGTTTCCCTTTCGTGGTCATTTTGACTTTGGGCAAGAGCCAGAAGTTGCATGGCGCCAGGTCCAGAGTATAAAACGAATAAGAATGCACGGTAATGTTTTTATTTGACAAAAATTGATATACTGGTTGTGTCATTGAGAGGTGAGCAAAAAATACAGTGAGTGTTTAAATAAAAACTGTTGCTTACAGTAAGTCACATTTCCATTAATTCCCCCCTCAAAGTAGCAAAAATACTCTCCTTGCTTTAAACACGCTTATCCCCTTGTTCATGACAATGTATCTTTCACTATCATAAGTTTTCTTTTAATGTAAACGTTCAATGTAGTTTTGATCACCCCTTGTATTCTAACCCAGGTTTTCATTCTTCTGTGTTCCGTAGGTTGTCTTGTATTCTCATCGAGAAATCCTACCTGTTGCCATCATCTGGGGGTCCAGGCACCCCAGGTGGCACAGGGGAAGAGGGACCTCTTCTTCCTTTTCCACTTCTTCTTCCTCCCCCTCGTCCTCCTCCTCGTCCTCCTCCTCCTTCTTTCTTGTTTTGTAAAAAGTGCCTACCTGTGGCAGATGAGCTTCCCTGGTCAGGAACAAGCACATCTTTCAGTCCGGAGGCAGTGTTTAAAGCAGTTTTTCAGTTCCTATTTTGTATGTCCTTGGCAACCAGACTTTGAGCCTGAAAAAGAAAGGAAAGCATTCTCTGCTGGAAGCATAAAGCCAGCTCCGCATCCTCCTCCACAAAAAGGGAAGAAATAGGTCCGAGCTGCCTCTCCAAGCTGGAATGTTCCTGCAGGACTGCAGTTTAGGCAATGCCGAGAGGAAGGAAAAAACATCGCTCCCCACTTGAAGGCTGACAGAGGGTCTATGTGTTGGAGCAAGAGAGACAGTCGCATAGGTTCATTACTCTCTTCACATCCCCTCTGCTGCCAAATATACCCACATTCATTTTCCCTTCCTCATTTGCACTGATGCTCAGAAAAGCACCCATTCGCCAGCACATAAACACATCCCACTCTACTTCAGCATTGATGAGGGTGTATTCATCCCCACAGCCCATCAAATTCGACAAACACAGGTCCTTGTAACATGTGACATAAAGCACACTGTGCTGGAAATGTCACCATCAGGGACACATAGTGTCTGTCCTAACTAGTCTGTTAGAATAAACCTATGCAGATCAATCCTCAGTCGCCAGCCAAGAGGAAAACATATGCAAATCACTAACCCTACAAACATGTAAGCACTTGGACATCCATTTAGATGCATATACACTAAGGTGTAACAATAGAACCATTTGTTCATAAATTTTATAAATTCTCACACCATTGATACTGAAATATTTCAGAGGGAAACTCCATTTTCCTGGGTTTTGTTTTTCTTGCTAGTTTTTCATCTTCTTTGAAATTTTAAAATTGATTTCTCTTTACAATTCTATTTTGAGAATGAGCCTATGCAAAGATATAAAAGATAGGATTGCAATTAGTGACCAGGAAAAGAAAAACTTCTTAAAAATAGTAAGGGACCATGAGAAATCAATGCAACTGCTGCTAGCTGCTGCAAAAAAGAATAATACAATTCTATTTTGTTCTTTTTTCTTTTAATAATAATTACTTCTTATCTTATGAATTATAGTATTCCATATAGAGAAACGAGAGGAAGGGAAGGAGGGAGAGAGAGAGAGAGAGAGAGAAAGAAGCTAAAGAACTTGCCCTTTACAAGTAAAGTATTCATGAATGAAACCTGTATCTTCATACTTAGTTGATACAATGAATTTACTGATTTTTAATGATGTTGTTCTTGTAAATGGATGTTTTGAACCACAATATATGAAATCACCCATTCTCTTACTGCAGGTATTTGAAGAAAGAAGAGCTCTGCTTGGAAAATGGGTAAGAATTTAAAATACTGTATACCTACGTCTGCATTATATTATCAGTTTTAGTCTGTTTAGGCCATTATAATAAGAACCACGGACCAAGTGGCTTATAAGCAACTGACGTTTATCTCTCAAAATTGTGGGGGCTAAGAAGTCCGGGATGGAGTTTCCTCACAGATTCAGTGTTCTGTTCATGGGTATCCTGATATGGCAGAAAAGAGGAGATAGTTCTCTGGGGTCTTACTGTATCAGGGCACTGATCCCATTTATATGGACTGCACCCTCATGACCTAATCACCTCACTGCCCCAACCTCCTGATACAATCATACTGGAGGTGAGGATTTCCATGTATGAATCTGGGACAGGTGGGGGATACAAGCACTCAATCTGTGGCTTTATCACAGAGCTGCCTCAAGAATTCAGGTTGGACCTAAGGCTGTGCATGACAGGTGGTTCCTGTATGCACAGTTAGGATTCAGTCTGGAAAATGGTAATCATGCATTATTTGAACAGACAGAATGTAATGAAAAGGCCTGGTTAAATAGGTTTTGGAAAACATAAAATAGAAGAAGGGAGCACTGGAGTTCCATGGAGATAGAACTGAGGGTGTGACCAGCTCTACCAGTACCTCAGGAGCTCAGAGTAAGGATTTCAGGACCTTGAGGGGACCTGGACTTGTAAGGAATGAAGTAGGTGACATCACAGTCAGCTCATTCTGGTCTATAGAGGAAGTATGACAGTTCTGAGTCTTTGGAAAAAAGCTGGACCCTGGAATCATGAGGGTGGGTGTATCAGTACATCTCCTCTTCCTCATTTTCCCTCCAAGGCCTCTGTCCCCAATGGCAGCATTTAGCAGGGAACTTGAAGTGTTTGTAGTGCACCAACCCCTTACACTCACGAGCACAGACAAGGGTTGGGATCTGAGAGGGGTTACTGTAGTAACCAGCACAGCCCACCCCTTTGCCTACTCAGCATCCCTGGTCTCCCTTCCGTTTATATTGAAACATCCACAGCAGAACTGTAACAGCTTTGTGGTTTTGCCAAATATGGTACACATATCCGTCAGCAGCAGATGGGACTTTCTCATCTGATCCTTACACGGAGAGACACATGGTCACTGCCCATCCCTGAGTGGTAGTCAAACTATGTATATCTGATTAATGTTTGTTAATCATCAAATTCCTCTACAGTCCTACTTAAATATCTTCTGTGACCCAAGAGAATTTCCACCAAAAAATGATAGCAATAGTATTCCAAATAGTCAAAAAGTGTAAATAATCAATGGTCTGAGTGAATAAATAAAATGTGGCATATCCATATGATGGAATATTACTCAGCCATAAAGAGGAAGGACATTCTGACTCATGTTATAACACGGGTGAATTTTTAAGACACTGTGCTAAGTGAAATAAATCAGTCACAGGGGGATAGATATTGTATAATCCCACTCATGTAAGGTACCTGAAATAGGCAAATTCATAGAGACAGAAAGCAGAATGGAGGTTACCCAGAACTGGGGAGATGGGTGGGATGGTTATTGTTCAGTGGACACAGTTGGGATGATTGAAAAGCTCTAGTGACAAATGATGGTAATGGTTGCGCAATGGTGTGAATGTACCTCATGCCACCGGATATATATAAATTTTAAGGTAGTTCTAATGGCAAATTTTAGGTGCATTTTACCAAAATAAAAAATAAGGATAAAAAAAGGAATGAGATGCTGACACACGCAATGTTGGTAAACCTTGAAAATATTCTGCTAAGTGGAAGAAGCCGGACAGAAAGACCACATACTGTGTGATTCCATTTATATGAAATATCCAAAATCAGCCAATCTCTAGAGACAGGAAAACAGATTAGTGGTTTCCAGGGAATAGGGGAAGAGGGAAATGGGAAGTGACTGTAATAGCCATGTGTTGCTGCTCTGGGAATGAAATGTTCTGAGATTCTATAGTGGTGATGGCTGCATGACCTTCCGAATATACTAGAACCCAGCCAATTCTACACTTCAAAATACTGAATTTTATGGCACATTTTATATATGTGTGTGTGTTTCACATGATATATATATCATGTGCACGTGTATGTATCACAGTATATATATATAATTTATGTGTGTGTGTATATATATATATAT